TACATCCTTTAATAACATACTGCCACTGCTCCACCACTGCTAAGCAAACAAGCAATCTTCCACATTCAAGATTCTGATCAAGACAAGTTCAGATGCTATCAAATAAAGCAGCATTAAGACACTCCCATAATTTCCTTTGCATTCACAAAGGAAGCTATGGATTCAAAAATCAACACTTATTAAAAAATTAAAACAGGTTGAGTTCAATATAACATCCAACAAGAAATATATGTATCATTTTATATTAACTTCAATAATATGTAAAGTATTCACTCTACAATGAGGGTAAAATGATACACAAATCATTTTTAAACACGCCATAGTATGTCATATTAGTATTTCTATTAGAATACATAAAATAATACAAATCTATCATTAAATATAATAAATAATGGAAGCTTACAGGAAGGCAAACTTTTAATTTTAACTTAAGCATTGCCCCATATTTCTACCTATGAGAGGTGAATTAACAGGAGGCTAGAGAAAATTTCATAAGCAGCTTTATGAATTATACTCTTAACCAAAAATATAAGGGTGATCAAATCAAGGAGGATGCAACAGTGGGACATATAGCTTGCACAGTAGAGATAAAAAATTATTACAGAATTATATTCAGAAAATATGAAGGGAAAAGGCCACTTGAAAGATGCAGGCATAGACAGGATGATAATACTACAATGGCTCTTAAAAGAAATAGGGTGTGAGGATGTGACTCGATTCATTCATCAGACTCAAGATAGGGTCCAGTGGCAGCCTGCTGTGAACATACTAATGAACCTTCAGGCTCCACTTCTCAAATATGATTCTGCTCCATCAAATTAAGCATCACACCTACAACACCAATGTGTGCTATATTGTTTTCTAGAAATAAATAGCTAGTTTTCAGTACAAATAACTTCCATCATCAGAATTTTCATGCAAAGCATATTATCAAATAGAATTTGTTAAAACAAGCAATAAGCACATCCACCAAGCATGTCATAAATCCCAACCTGTCATTCTATCCAGTTAAAAATATTAGATGTATATATATTGTATTGAAACTTTTGAATCAAATTTAGACATTATTTAGCAATATTTTCTGAAATAAAAACAGGATAAATATGGGAATAAGATCGCATGATAAATGTTCTGCTCTTCAAAACTCCTACAGAATCTGTGAAACTGTGTGTGTGTTTGTCTGTGTCAAACTGACCCATATTCAATAATGGGTCAGAAAGTAACTGAGTTGAGAAACTCTGTGTCCACACATATGTATGTACACACACACATATACAAATCACTCAGAATCTTCATATATTAATTAACTTTTATTTGCTGTGCATCACAGCAATATACTCTAACCTCACTTAAAGTCCAGCCAGCAACTCCAAAGTATGGATGTTTAAAACTGCTTGTTGTATGACAAAATACTTAACTGAGTGCATATCGCCATTTAAGATACAGCATGCCAAGGGTTCATTAACTACTGAGGTGAAGTGACTAAGAGAAACACAAACAACCTCTTACATCATATTTATTGATGTTTACCCTTGAATGAAATGTAAACACCATCTTGTAGTGGCTGTGTTGATTTAGCAAGGTGTCAAAGCGATACTCACCAGATAAAATGCTGTTTTTGGTTCACTTCAGCTATAACCCAGTAGAAAGTTGTACAATCAAATATCCTCTGCTGTGCTTAAACAATGCACAAAGGCATTTAAATGAACTGGTCTGACACTGTCAGAGTTGTAGTTATATGTTTCAATTGTAAAACTCATTATTAGTGGAAATGATGTTTAACAGACTGTGGTCTGAACTATGAAATGTTATTTGTTGAAAACAAATTATATGCTTTTTGAGAAAGTAAAATTAAGCATTAAAGGCAACACACAAGAAATGGCAGAACATAATTTGTAAATAGGATTACTGTCAACAGATTCATGTATTCTAACATGAGTAAACCAATTAAAATAAAAAAGAGGTTCACAAATTTGAAATTATTAATATGTTGTCACTGCTTATCATATTTACTTTCAGTAATTCTAATTTCGCTTATGAATTGATGTAGTAGTTGAGTCACACCCTGGTTGTATGAGAGAGTGTGTACTATGTACTGACAGCAACTAACCATTGTTTTACATTGTTATAAAAATAAATGTACAGAATTTGTAACAGAAGTCTCAAATGACTGTTAGGTACTTATGTTAAACCAAACGTCCCTACTTAAATTTATTCTGTAAACATATAGGGCTACCAAGGGTTAAATATATTCATAAAAGTGTTGTCAGCAAGTACAGACAGTTATAGTATACAGTAAATTTAAATAGCACAGCAAAGGATAAACGTGTATGATCCTAACAGCAGGTATAGCCTAGTTCACCTGTTTTTGCCTAAGTCCTTCACACAATCAGATGTTGCATATCAGTACTGCACTTTTATTCCTTATATGCATATTTCACACTATTTAATTCTGATGTGTATATTACCCCCCTTCCCCCAATGCAAATTTATTAAAAATTAATAAATGCTGATAACAGACCAAAGGTAGAGGAGGTGCACAAGAATGAGCAAACTAATTGCAGCCTTGAATCTGACCTGCATGACTGGATGCCATCCACCCATCATCCCATACCTGGCTAATCCCATAAGAAAATTCTTCAATCTCTAAAGATGACAAATGTTTGCAAGTACTTGGGTCCATATTAGAAATGCAACACAGAATTTTTGTTGCTTTGTACTTCTGAGGCTCTTACTGATGATTTTCAAAGTTTACTTCTGCCCCTTCAAAAAATATAAATACTCCATGATGTCTTCCTTCCAAACCCATCCCATGTCAACAATTGTCCTCCTAGTTGATGTTAAAAAGACCTATGCAGATGATAAAATATTAAATATATTTAGAAATGATGTACTATAGCAGAGACTAGGAATAAAAGTGTTTATACAACAGGCTTTCAACTTCAGGTCAAATTTCCCAAAAATTCTAGTCCCAAAAGACCTCAGCTGCATTAACCTTTATCACCATGTATAGTGTGGTCCAGCTGGCTATGCATCACAGCAGTATAATGCTAAACCATTAAACTCTGAAGATATAGTCCGGCCAACAGTCCAGTAGTACAGGGGTTCAAAAATCCTATATTCCCATACATTAAAGGTTAAATTAAAATAATCCAAAATTAACTATGCTTGATGTAACATTAAACTTACCATTCCTCTTGGCTGGGTCCATGCCTAACTTTTTCATTCCCTCTCGTACCTCCTCCAGGTCACTGGAACTTGCCCGGAAAGTGTCTGACACAAACTCATGGGTAGGGCTGTCAGTGGAGGTGCTTTCCGGAACTAACACATCATCGAGGTGAGGTTTCACTAGATGGGACACAACAACCATACTCAGCCAAAACTAAAATAATTTTCAGACAAGCGATCACATGCATTAAAATAATACAAACATGCATCATATGGGAAGAGGAATTTGATCAATGGTCATTCTCCAAAGAAGCAGTGTCCTGTTTGACAGATTCACAAACCATATGATTGTGTAACTATCACAAATGCACAAGTTGTTGGAATATCTTCAACACTATCCACAGAAGTCATGCATTTAAGAGGTATGTAGGTCAAATATCAGCTGAAAACCGGCTATTCTTGCTAGTTTCTTTATGACACTTTATAGCTGATACCAGCTTCTGACAAACACATCAGAAACATCTGCTCTAGGTAATGACCATTCTGACCAGACAATGAACACTCACTACAACACAAATACTCGCATGAGCACAAGCTCTCTTACCTGCTGGATCGACATCTGTGCTGTTGGCTCGCGCAGTGGGATCAGGTTCCCGGCCACCTTCCTGAGCCATTGAAGACAATTCATTTGCCTGACGGATCAAACTCACACGATAGAAGTAGTTTCGCCAGAAAGTTTCCTCATTGATCCTAAATCAAGTTGTTTAAATATAAGCTTAGCATCTGATATAGTGGTGCAGTGTCATTGCTGAAATGCATGTACAAAAACAGAATTCAACCCTAGAAAAGCAGTGCACATTCTTCACATGGCAGATAATTGCACTGTCAGAAAATACATCTCGAACAATTCAGCTGGTGAAAAATCATCAACTGTTGCTTCTGAAATTCAGGATCTTTCTTAGAACATATACAGAATTATTCAAGTAACAACAATTTGACAGCTGCACTTCTGGAACAGTCTGAAAATGTGTCAGTCACTGCTTCCAGGGTTAACCCATTGCATTCTCTGTGTCAGGCAGCTTGTGCTCCAGTACACTGCTCTCATTAGGATGCTCTGGTCTTTAAATCACATATTTGGTTTATTTTTCCTACATCTATACAGGTACTTTATACTAATTGCAATGGTCAGCAAAAATATACAACTATACTTCTGGTTACCAGCAAGAAGTAGATACCAATTTTATCCTGAAGAAGACCAAATATTCACTTTTACATGACACAGCAGTGAATCTGACTTATCAATTTAATATGACACAATAACAAAGATCTGATTTACATATTAACTTTACAAAGCACTTTTATCCTACATAAGTCTGAAGTTTCACTTACACTTTAGGTACCAGTTCAAACCTCATCTTCTCAAGGTTGGGATCTTCAGCTAGTGTGGCCATTGCAACAGGATAAGAGACTTCATAATCAAACTGGAAATCAACACCAGCTGGAGGACTTCGAACAAAATTTCGCCTATCCTGAAATGAACCAAAAAACCACAGATTTGAGTAACTTTTTTCTTGTTACATTCTCAGCAAGGAAAAGTTGCAAGGAAAATCTGATAAGACTATAATCAACACTGAAGGATGCCTAATTGTTTGTCAACTGTGATAACAGAATTCCATCTTGTGCCTTTTATTTTGAATGGTTAAGGAAAGAATAAATCACAGAAAGTTTGGTTCGAAAACCTTGGTTCATATACGCAGATACTGGAGGGCAATATTAAACAAGTTTTGAAAAAGAAAGGCGGTAGACTGGACTAGACAAACAAACAGAATATAAGCATTTGACCTTTTGGGTTCCATAACAGCAGCAAATTATACTGAACAGTTGAATATATACCAACTGTTACAGAAAAGCCACACACTATGAAGTTAGTTATTTAATGTCTAATTTTCTACAATAAGTCAAGTATATATAATCCATTAAACACATTGGTTAGTAACTGTAAAAAGTTTGAATTCTACTTTCTGAAAGGTGTACCAAACATATGAATTATTGAATAAGGCTGTCTTCTATGGTGTTGTACTGGGTAGTCTGGTAGAAGTTTGCCTCTGAAACATAGGTAAACTTCTACCAGACTATATGTTGCAACAACCCAGAAAACAGACATAAGAACTTCAAATCCTATATATAAATTGTTTTTATAAGTTTCTGATATATTTTCTGTATAACACTTCTGCCTGTGCAGATTTTCAGTATCATAAGACATCAAACATAAGCTGAGAGAAAACTTCTTTCTAGTATATTAACCTAAAACTGAGAAATGCTTTGTACATGTGTTAAAGTGTTATGCACTGGTGTCAACATTTGTGCAGAAGCTGAAGGCCACTTACTGTTGAGAGTGTTAGGAACTCCTCCTTGAGGCTCTCCTCATTGGGGCAGCCCACCCATGGAGGCACTGCGGCATCGGACGTCTTACCTTGTTTCTCTTTGATGAATGCCTCCTGCTCCTTGTTGAACTCCCCCAACAGACTCTGCGAACAAATTAGCATCAACATATGTTACTTATCTGAAGACACATTCCTAATTTCTTTAAGTAATAAAATCAAGAAAGATGATATTCATGGGATGTGAAGCATGCATGGGAGAGAGATGATAAATACACACACATTTTGGCTGGACAATTTTAAGGTAGACACCATTCGGAAGACCTAGGTGTAGATGGAAGGATCACATTAAACCCTATTAATCTGACAGCAACACTTCCTGTATATATGTATATGTGTGTGCATGCATGTGTTTGTGCGCGTGTGTGTACATACATACATACATATGCACAGTAATACATCAGTATAAAGATATTCAGTATGTAAACAGCAGTGGCTACTGAACTATGAAATGGATAATAATGTTTCAAAGTGACATCTCAAATATTTGTATAGTTAAAAGCTTTCTTTTTCCCGAGCATCCGGAGCTGATAACTATGTGCAGAACACCAGATGACAAACAGTCCCTCACTCCCATCCTTGTATCACCATTGCCCTGAATACTCTCATGCCATTGTAACAAATTTACCTTATTATGTTCATTGAATGGATGTTAATCCAACGTTATCAATTTCTAACACTCCTTTGTATTGATATGGCCAATGTTCTTGGTTTTGAAGAAATAAAGATTATAGAAACCATGGACTGATGGCTATAATAGTATATTTTGTTTAACATTGAACATTGCACAAATGCATCCTTGCTCTACCGTAAATTCATGTTCAGATACATGTTCTGTTTTATAGCGTGTGTGCATAAATATTGTGTTATGTATTATTCTGTATTCAATATTATTTTTTAAATTTTTAGAACATGTTAAAATGTATGACAAATTATTAAATGTAAAAAAAAATATCTGAAACAACAGGTACATAGCCACTGTAGATGAGACGTAGTGTTCTTTGAAACCAATCACAATATGCTATACAATGTCTGTGAGTCAGTGTACTTGCTTTTATGTACGCATGACGTATACAGTGATGTCATGAAACAGGTGCCAATTTTTTGACATGGATTGTACAATGACCTTGACTCCCCACACCAGCGCCTGTATCATCCGACGCAATTCACTTACCTTGCATGGTTAATAGGTTGTCTATATACCAGGCGCAACGGTACGTCGATACACAATTCAATGGGTTGCGGACATGTCAGGCATTGTCTGGTATAATAAACCATGTTCCCCGATAATACAAAGCTCAGTGTGACGTCGGTTTATGCTAATCAGCCAAAATTCAGGAACGAATGGGGTCAGAATTAGTTTGGGATTACCGAGACCTGATTCGATTTAAGATCTTAATAAATTTATTCTAAGAATTAAAGGATGAGAAGAACGGGTGCGAAAAATAAAAGCCAAATGAAAATATCATCCCTGTGTTACAAAGGAGTACATCGTTCATGGACGATACATTCAATCACTTTTCTTTAAATTAAACTTAGGTATTCTCAATCAGTCGCCTCGTGTAAATGGAAATCCTTCAACCGTGACGTAAACCAACGATGACCTACCACAAATACCACCAAAATAACAAATATAAGAAACGGCCCACGGCATTTACCAATTATGCCTGCCCAAGGGAAATCCAGCTTGCAAGTCACGTGCACACTGCGGGGGCTGTTACTGATGCACGGACATAATATCTATCATAACGTCCACAGAGGGCATCTGATCAGACATTCACAGCTTTCATTCCTTCGAGTAGCTTAGACAAAATCTCCGCCGAGTTCGAATCCCAGGTAAAGAAATTTTGCTACTCGTCATCATAGTCCAATTTGGGGACTGCCGTGTTCCCCCACCCAAATTCATGCAAACGTCGGCTGAGAAATCACAGAACTACTTCTGGTTCCCTTGTTCATATATTTATTTTCTTGTTTAATTTATTTAAGTCCTTTCTTGCCTCTTTCCTTTTTACTTATTCCTTAGATTCCCTGTCATCATTCATTCCCCTCCGTCTTTCCTCTTTCATCCCTGATTTATTTACCTTCACCTGATTCCAGGACTAAGCAACGTCGGGTGAAAAGTTTTAAGCTGCAAATCAATTAGATTACGCAATTTAATAACAGAGAGAATAAAACATTTTATGAGATAGTATAGCTGCGTCATATTGTGATATTAATTAAAATAATTGTTTTCTATATTCAATCATATTTCATTAATATTTTCGAATCTTTTACTTCACAGACTGGTATAAACATCAATAACACCACCTCAACAATAATGTTATATTAATAATATCTAGACACAACTTCCATAAAATATACTGAGAAAGATGATAAAATTATAAAATTGTAAAAACTATAAATAATTGTAATTTGAGTTTAAAAGTTTATAATTTACACCTGATGACGGTTTGATAAACCGAAACATGTTGTGAATGTTCCGATGTAAATCGAATGCTCGATATGGAACATAAGATGATATTTTAATCATTTCAGTTATCTTATCTTACTATTTTATTGTGATTTGACAGTAAACAAATATTAGCGATACCACTGCTTCGTACGTGCTCCACAGTTCGTGGTGAACCAGACAAGTGCTCCTACTAATGTACCACCTTATTATACTAGCAGCACTAGGTGACCTGAATAAATCAATTAGTGCTGCTTCCAGGGCTGTGGAGTCGGAACTAAAATCTCCGGCTTCGACTCCGACCCCGACTCCTTCATAATAATAATAAGGGTAAACCTACTAAAATGGTAAATAGCACCATAAGAGATGTCATCACCACCACGTGAATCATCAGCCTACTTTAGCGGGATGGGCTGACTTTGTAGCACCCCTCTAAGCACAACCCTGAACTCAGGAGCGAAGCTGGTCTGAGAGTAGAATAAAATTCATTCTGACTTTCGACTGAAGCAGAGCGGTAGCGCAGCGAGCTGCTGTACCGGCAGGTAATGAATGCACAGCCTTGTCGTTCGTCCATCGGACCGGTCGATACCACACTGCGGTACAGCTGCAAGGTTTGTGGCAATGCATGCCCACTCTTCGGCCTGGACGTTCAGAATTCCGCACGGTTGATAATTTCCGTGGTTTTGTCCAGTCTCTCCATGAAAATACTGGTAACTGTCCACAACAGAGCCTCCTTATGTATCTTTTAAAATTCATTATTCATTTAGTAGGATTTGAGGTTCTCACGGCGATGAGAGCTTGCTTCAAGGACCTCTGAAACGTTAGTAAATTTCTACCAGACTACGCGGAGCAACATATCAAAATACGGTCGTCCACATACCTGTCGCCGTGAGAAAATGAAATATCACCAATACAAGAATTAACCTATCCTGTAACAAGATTTCCGTACTCTGTCAACCACCAGCTGTGACATTACATCTGGGTTACTCGTAATGGTCTATCCCACTAGTCGGAAACCACCCCGTGCCAACTCATCCTGGGTTATGGATTCATTTGGTTGTAAATAGAGTCCAATGTTCAGTTTTTGTAAACGCGGCAATGAACCTTGTGGTTCCATGAAAACAAACATCTTAACTGGATGAAGATTTATAAATCTTTGAAAAAAGAATCTGCACCGTGAAGTTAGATTTTTTGATCGGGTAATACGATTTTTGCCATCGTTTTTGGTACTCACTGTACTGCCACTGACAGTCTTTTCGTCATTGAAGAACGGAGAAAGACCGTCACAAATACAGATTCTAAACACCACTCGTAAAACAGTGTTAAACTACTAACATGGCAAGCCATTACGTCAGTGCGTCAAACCGGGGAACAGCAAACATAAGACGATTCAGCATTTAACATTTGACTGCATGCACTTGGTTTTTACGTCAGCAAAGCTTTGATCTGTTACGGTAAACACCCACGAGATTTGAAATTAACATGGCGGCGAGAACCAAGATGGCTGCCTTCTGAGATGTTGAACCATATAGTCTGGTAGATCCTGACAGACGCTTCAGGCGTTCTTAAAGCCTCCATCATCAGGGCGCAGATCTGAACACGGGTCTACTGTTTCCATCTTAACTGGTACTAGTCGTTACGAGGCGACACTGTGCGAATAACATGCTGCGATTATGTTACACGTAGCATAATGCCATGAACTGATGACAAATGCTAGCAGACCCGTAAATAGTTTCTTGCATAATTCATAGCAACATGTACAATGAATGGCCATCACGTTTGGCACCAAATTTAATTAGATTTGAGTGAAGGCTGCTGGGTGCAACTACAATGCAATAAACTTGACTAATAGAGGGCTGCAGGGACGAAAGACCAACACTATATTGAATTTACGGCTAAATTTGAAGCAACTCCCATAACAACAAAGTAAAACACGAAGACTCTTTGTGTTAACACGCGTGGGTGAAACTGGAAAATAAAATTAGAAGTATTCCTTAAACGAGGATAACATTAATTTACAAACGACCTTCTCTACGACCACAGAATTCAATGAGATGAAGAAGATATATAAATAGTCTGCTAGACGTAAGATTACACCGAGATGGCGAAAAATACTCAATATTATGAAAGTTGTCAATGTACGGGAAACAAAAGAATGACAAACACTGTTGAAATGAATGGAAGACACATGATAACACATCTTCAGATGAAAACACTAATAAAACATCAAACGTTTCATTTTACAATGTAATACCATAATCATTACGTTATCTCCCACCCATGACGAAGTAAAACTTCAATAACGTTGCAATGAAACGTTAGATCACCTTATAAATGGGTCTCCAGGGAAAAGCCGTTAGTAAATGAAAGATATTACATCCTAATCTCAACAAAGGCTGTGCGCCCACACGCAGTGAGCCTAGGACTCAGGGGTGATCAGGTTTAGAATGAACTAAAACATTTCTCATACCTCTCACGAAATCAGTCTTGAGTAACATCGACATTTTTCATATTTCTCGTGATCTTTCTGAACCAATCCCCGTTACTGAAGCCAGTAAAGAAGAGTCAACGATATCGATACTGTGCTCTACAGATTACGATATCGATACTGTGCTCTACAGACTACGATATCGATACT